GATGATTTTTTGTTCACAATCAACGACGCCCATGCCGACAGCAAGCACTTAGCAGAGTCTGTCCTGGCTTTAAACACTTACAAGTGTGTTGACAAAAATAATTAAATAAATAAAATAAAAAGTTAGCGTGTTTAGCACTAAGTGGCACAAGGCTTGGTCCCACCAGCGGTGCTGACCATCTGGCTGCTCCTGGCTTGGCTAGGCTTTTATTACCCTAACCTCTATTCCGGCTACTAATTACATCTTGAGTGATTTTAAAAGGGCGCTCGCGAACTTCGTAATGGGTTGTGTTGGGCTGATAACCGCTGGTAACATTAAAAATAGCAAACGAAGCAATGAGATACGACGTGTATGGGCGCCCGCTCACACGGGAAATCCATGTGAGGAGGCGGCCCACCGCGTAGCCCGAGGTTTATTAAAGAGGGAGGTAGACTACTGAACACCGGACTTTTCGCTGGATGGGATCACCTAGTACAATGAAATCACAGCTGATTATTACACACAGAATTGCAATACATACGCCGCCATGTTTACATAATTTGCAAGGAAACGGGCAATGATCTGGAGGCGATTTCAAACACATACTTTTCGCAGGTAGCATCGCCCGTGTAAAGTTTACCCTAAAGACAGTCGCGCAAACAGCCGACATTGCGGCTCGTCGTCAACTGAATACCATCTTCGAGAAGAAGAGCATAATTGAGCCGAAAAGGTCGTGGCAAGCTTTTTCCGACTACCCCATGCCCTGAAGCACAGGCAAGATGAATTCAGTGACTTCATGGTGTCGTTGATAAAGCTGTTTCTATCTGTAACAACGAACGTGAAATAACGAACTGCGGGCAAGGTTTTGGAGTGATTAAAATTCCTTGTACGAATCGTCCAGAAGAACAGCAGCCAGCTGCGCATTTGAAGCGTCTGGAACAGAGCAAGAAAGAACATGCTGCCACATGTCGACGAAGAAGAGAAAGCCGATCGCGGTTATCGGCAGCGGCCACGAGCGCGCGTGCGTGGGTGCCCTCGTGCTCCATGCGCCGGCACGACCCTGACAGCCATTCGCTACCCGATTCTTGCGATGCGCGGTTGTTCTCGAGCTGCGTGTCCTGTTGGTCGCGGCCAAGTCGTTCCACGACGCCCACTTTCACAATCTGGCTGCCAGTACCGAACCCACCGAAGCCCTCGCCTGCGCTCCATCGAAGTGTCAACCTCCAGGACTGAGACATGCCAACCGTCGCTGCTGTACCGCAGCCGCAAGACGAGGAAGAAGAGAAAGAGGCCAGACTCTAAGTCTTCGTCGTCGGGTTGCGTCACGACCAGTCAAGGTTCCGACACTTCGCCACCGGCGTCATCACCGTGCAGCACGAGCGGACCTTCCAGAACTCTTCGGCCTTCTTTTCGCGACGCAACGGGAAGCTGATCAAGGTAAACGACAGCGTGACGATTCTGAAGACAGTACCAAGCCTTCTGTGTCCCGGCGTCGAGGTGGACCTCCGACGATGACGACTTCAGGGAAAACGGTGGGTGACCAACGCGATGAACAGCTGCATCACCGTCATCGGACAGCAGCGTTTTGCCTTTGGACAAGACGTTCTCGGGGCAGTCACTCTCGAAGTCGTCGCTGGAAGGGGGATGCCCTTGTGTTGAACGGGCGCTGGAGCAGAAGCCTGCCGCTGATCCCACACCGTGGTCTTCGCGCGGAGAAGGTGCGAAGAGTAGCCTTCGGAATGAAGCCTGCCTGAAGACTGGCCATGTGCTGCGTGCCTGGTCGAGACCTGCGTGCCTGGTCCGTCTCGTGTCCGACTCGAGCTTGAAAGAGCAGTGGAATTCTCGATGGACTGGAGGGAGGACTTGGGGATTCATTACGGTGCGCGGAAGACGACGACGACGACGACGAAGATGAAGGAAGCGGCTTAGCCTCGTCAAGGACGCTGACTTCCAGGTCGCCTACGACAGGTTTGAGCGACACCGGTGGGCCAGTTCGGTGTGGCTGTCCGCTGGTGGACTGGCTGGCGCAGTCCTCTTCATCCAGCGGCGATTTCCGTGACTGTGGCGTGGATGACGAGGCCAAGCACAACTGCGTCGGGGCCACTGAGCATCTGACTTCACAATGTTGTATACATAATTCGTTCCGTAACCTATTAAACTTGAAGCAGTTTGTCTATCGTTATGTGCACCATTTCCTGATGCCAGCAAGACAACAGCCTCTCGGTCTATCGCGCAGTGGTTGAATGGTCTTTAACACATAGTAATACAGAGTAATATTGCATATTAACATTCATTTAACATTCTGTAAATTCAGAATTAATGCTGGGATTCAGAATTTACATTTATAACATTTGGCAGACACCACATGCCTTGGAAATCGGTGTTATGCGAAGCATGCGTAGGGAAAGTGACTGTGTTGTATTTTTTGGGGCGAAGCTCACAAAAATATATATTTCCACTAAATAAAATATTTTGCGCTGAGTGCTCACTCCCGCACATAATCGCCAGTGCTTTCCTCGAGCGGACTCTGAGATTCACTAAAATTTTCCTAAACCCGGACCGACACGTATTCAAGCTCATCGTAGCTCACTCGAACTCACTAAGACTTAAAGCCACGGCTCCATATGAGTCTGGATGAGGTTGAGAGAATCTACTCACGAGTCCGTTAGCGTTTAAGTGGCTCTTCCGTCCGTGGTGGGAATGCTTTTTAACACAAATGTATTCTATAATCGGTGCTGTACTTGACGCATGCATTGATATCGTAGCTTCCAATACGAGTTATATTGTTAGCAAACCAGTAACGACATCTTTTTTTTTTGAAAGAGTTGACTCCCACGAGATGTTCTTTAAGCAACAGACCACTCTCATAATACATGCTTATTCGACTCCCTTTGGTTCACATATAATTCGTTGCGTCTGTTTTGTCGCTTTCTTGGCAACACCCTTGATTGCCTGATTTGCTGATAGTCAGGAAGCGGGGGCCAAAGAACGGGGGTGCTGGACTCCCCCCCCCCCTCTTCCCAAATATTTCAAATTTACCGGTGTATGGATACAAACGTGAACGCACAGACGCGCATGAAGTATGCATGAAAGCAGCACGCCAAATGGCCAGATTAATCATTGCCGTATTTGCGTGGTTTACGTAGTGACATAACATGGTGGCGGTGGCGGTGTTGGACGCCCGTGCCCGCTTTGAATTGAATTTAGCGTTGAGTCGACTTAAAGTTCCGTTCATCACGGGCACTTTGCCCGATGTTAACGCGCCCTTGCAAGTTCAGCACACCATGAATTCCCTGTAGTTTCTGTTGCCGATACTCGTCCTGAACTCTTGTTGGAGCACGCCGCGCGACGCAGGAGGTTCATCACGCGTCTGCAGAATCTCGTTCCCCGACGCCATGACGTGATGGCTGAGGGTGTAAGGGTGTAGTGCCGAGAGTATATTCTAGGGGGAGAGCGCAAACGCGCTAGCGCGTGCCAGGATGTTTGACTAGGGGCGGGGGTGATTATTTAGAAAAAGACGGGGAGGTAAGAAAATGGGATGTGAATGTGCACAATAACTGTCTCTCATGTGAGAGGACACCTCAACCGATACACTTACGTGGGAACGGTGAATGAAGGGACAGTGAGACTGAACAAAAAGATAGTAGGGTAGAAAGAAGAAAAAAAGGGAGGTGGTGTCAAGTCAAGGAGGAGGAAAAATAAACAAGCGTGGTGGGAGGAGGACACGCTTCACCATGGCGAGCGGCTTTTAAAAGTCGCTTGGTCAAGCAGGTGTCCTCAAGAAAGTTGAGTAAGGCTGCAAGGGCACAGCCATATGTTGATGGCCTTCGTAGCCGGTAGGGTGTAGGAGGTGCCGTGATATCATCGCAGTTCGCGTCGACTTTACCCTGGCCCCGCACGCGAAAGCAGACGAACGACTGCTACGCCACCTTCAGACTAACACTTTCCTTTATATTAACTCTATGTGTAACGTTGAGAGCGGGGCGATGGGGCGTGCGGCCGATTGCGCCGACTTGCGTGCACGCCGGACGAGTCCACGTCCTTGTTTTGTCAACTTTTGTGTTGCCATGAGGCAAAAACTTGACTACATGTGACAGTCTATTACTGCGATGTAACAGAGACCCACGAAACAGGAAAAAAAAAATGCCGGGTGTAATTGCAGCATGCAGGGGCGACTGCGAACGTCACTCGAAAGCTGAGTATCGTTCCATCATGGCGGCACCCAGGCGGTTATGAGTTTTAATGCATGGGCCCATGGGGAGCTTTTCCTCTACAGTTTGTATATTAACTCTATGCTTTCCTTAGTTCCGCGGTCACCCGGCACTTCATACAGGAAATCTCCGGCACGTGTCCAACTTGTCAAGAGTTACCCGACACATTTCACGTTGTGGCTTAGTGTCCTGCTCTCCCGAAATTCCCCCCCCCCCCCCCGACATGTTTTTGGCTATGGCATAGGGAGCGAAAAATGACCATTCTAAGAGGGCACGTGCCCCACCCCCACCCCCCTTGAAAAAAATTGCTGGCTACGCGCCAGCCCAGCCCTTTACACACATAGAGAAAACTCTATGTTTACACAGGCCGGAACGCGCTAGAGCCCCATAACGCGTGCTGGCAGTGCTTGGGCCAGCTGCTGCGTCTGCGCAGTAAGAGGGTGGATTGAGCGTCGCCATAAGTTGTTTCGCATCTACAAAGGTAACGTTGCTGCGCGCAAAGATACAAATATACAAACAAGCACTTTTGTTTTTTTTTGTTTCTTTTTTCACTTTTCTAACGCATATATCCTCTAGTAAGTGGCGCCATCATTCCAACTTGGACACGTAAATACATACCATAACAGTGTTACATAAACGCAAAAAAAGGTATTATTTTAAAAATTTTTTTGTAAACGTTATCCCACTAGGCCAAAACGCGTTGTCTGCAACGAATGTGTTGCAGCATGGTAATGTTATTTTTCAACTGTCTATCATCACCATCAGTACATCTTAGAGCTTGCCAGAAACCATTCGAAGCCGACCATGGAGCCGACACGAGCCCATTCATGCCGGTGTTCGGTAATGGTAGCGCCCATGATATCTGCGATATCGTAATTTGTTGCAGTGTAATGTAACGCGCGTTACTGGGTGTTGTTCATTTCTGTTTGCAAGACCGCAAGCGTGGTTTGGCGCAGTTCAACCATGTCAGCCACTCGCGACAACAGTCGCGTGTTGCGCGCTCTTCGCGAGTTAGAGAACATGTTCGGTTCCCAAGAAGCGGACTTCCACTAGTAGTGTCGACGACACCATCGCACGTCGGCTCTCGTTTGGCGAAAGCATCTTGGAGTCTCGGATAGACACTAGCAGCAGCTCAGAAGCAAAGTCAGGTGAGCCAGTGTCGGCGGCAACGCGATAAAAGAGCGCTTCGTACAGAACAAAGTGAGGCGCGAACAACCAAAGTCTACGGCAAATCGGCTCCATTAGGCAGGGAGAAGAAATCGACTTGCACTGCATAAACGAGCCATACGACAATGATATCGATCTCAAGTACCTTTCCAGCAAGCTGGCACACGATTTTCCTATGAAGTCTCGTTTCAATGGTGTGCAGAGGAATGGGAGGCACACTGACACAATAACCGTTGAGCTGTTGCATGTATGTACAAAACTGCGCGTATGAAATACAAGGGTTCTGGGGATATATATTGGCAAAACACCGCTGGAAAACAGCTTGGCTGGGCCGAGGGTCCGTTACAAGGCATACGGGGTGGTTGTATGTAAAGATAGCAGCATTGTTAGAAGCACTAAATAAGTTAAATATGAACACTAATGCACAAACCAAGATGTAAATATTATAAAGAAATGATGAAAACAAGTTCGATCCACAAGAAGACTGAAATATATGCAAGGGCTACAGGAAGCCATACACAATGGGCTCTGACAAATGAACATAGAAAACAATAATTTAAAAAAAAAAAAAATAAATGCTTCATCGGCACATCTTTACAAAATGCATCTGAAGTGTTTTCGACAATTTGATATCGATTTAAATTATGTGGCAAGTTGTGGTGTAATGATTGTAGGCTATATTTATTATAAAACTGAGGAACATATCACGTGTCCCTATTTCTCATATTGGTAGCAGTTACTCTAGGTGTCAAAGATGCACCATAGAATTATGCACTTATCTCGCATGCACCATAGACACATACTTATAAATAATTGGCTGACATTTGCTATTTTTGCATTGGTCTTTGTTCTCTGGTTTTTTAATTGGTGCTGTGTCTGTCGTTCAGTTTGTTCTGTTTAAAATGCTCTTCCATTCCTTGCCAGTAATACACCGATAAGCCCAGTCAAGCACACTGCACCCATTTACGAAATGCAGGCTGTTGTTTATGGCCTAGGTTGTTCACGTTTTCCCAGTCCACAATGGTTGAAACAGCCGTCACACAGCTTTGAATTCGAAGGCTAGCATTAGGGATGAACTCATCTACTAATTACCAACCTCTAGAAATGCACAACCGGGCAGCACCATTCAGATTGCCGCAATTAAGTCCCGACATGATTGGTAGCCTTGTGTTGTGTCTACCTTCGGCGTGACGTTTTCTTCCACTTGAGCACAATAACTGCTTAAGTTGTCAAGAACACTCTTTATATGTGAGGGATTTCATGAAACATTGCTTATCCTCAAACATGTCTTTACATTTATACCTCACAGGCTTAAGTAACGGTACAAAACACACATAGCCAAGGCGGTTGTTACAAAGGCATAACTTTGTATGCATAAAAATAAACAAAAAATGTGTGGTCCTGAATGTTTCATGAAAAGTTTCAGAACAGCTGTGTTTTTCAAGTGTTTTCTCTTCAACACAGGCAGTTCACGGGGTCTTCCGCAGTAGTCACTATCAGAACATTAATTTGTAGAGCATGGATCGTACATGTGTAGTCTGTGCATGGTGTAAAAGTAACATTCAAGATATAAAACTTGGTGCTCTAAAAATATTTTGAGGAAAGAAGCAATATCAAACAGGTTTATGGAGTCCAGAGTTAGACAGAATTACATCTGGACATGGATGAAGAAAAGTACAGTGCTGCGAATGTAAAAATACATCCATAAAGGAGACGGATCGCCTCCTACACAAGAGCTCTGTTGACAGTGAAGTGACAGTAGCAGCGTTGCTTATCGCCTGTTTCGAGCAGCGCATATATATTGGCGAGACATTACTGCTAGTTTTATTTAACTTATGTACAGTGGTTTGGATCATCAAAGATTCCAGGTGAAGCTGTCGACGGAGTTTTTTATTAACGCCTGAGATATTTAAAGGGACACTACAGAGAATCAATGACTTCGTTTAGATTGATAAACTGCACTCTGAGAACTCTAATGCCATAGGTTGCACTTTGTATAAGTTGCATAAGTTTATTATTAATAAAGAAAGTCAAGGTTAAAGTATAGTTAAAGGTTAAATTAAGCTTAAATTTCATGCCAAAATCAGCGCATGTGATGTAGCAAATTTCAAAATGTACTTTTTGTATTTTCGCGACGTTGGCTCATCGAAATTTTCCGAACGTCATATGCTAGGTCTACAACACCCACAGAACAATGTACTTCATTTTATTGAGTATAAATGATGTAAAACCTAGTAGACACCTTTAAAATTTTACTACATCACGGTGTTTGGTGTGGGAATATCACAAAGGCGTCTCTACCTGCATTTTCTTTTCACACGTTTTCTCACTTGCCAAGCATCATGTCATGGTGAAAGTGGTGTTTTTGGGATTGTAAAATAGCAAGTTACTAATATGCGAGAAATTGCTTTGCTCTTTCGTGTCCCTTTAAGCTCGGAGTGAGGCTGCTGTCGTGGACAGAAAACTCGGTGGGTATGTGCCACAAAAAGCAAATGGCGAAGCAGCTTCTAGCATAGCTTGGCCATGCATGGTATAGTATAGCAATGGGGTGGTAACGAAGAGTTATGAGCATGAAGAGGAAAGCACAAGGTAAATCATAGTGTAGCTTTGTATAATACATTTTATGTGCTGCAGACAGCATAGAGTAGCTGTGCATCGTACAGCATCGAAAGGGGTGGGAAAGGGAAGTGATATTATTAGGGTGAGGGAGAGAAGATGGAGAGAGAGCTAAAGCATGGCATAGCCATGTACCCTTCAGCAGAGCAATGGGTAGGATGGTAAGTGAAGGTGAGGGAATTTGGGAGAGAGGGACATATAGAAAGAGCTATTGCAATACCTCTTCCTATATTGCCCTCTCTCTTTCTATATAGCCCAATACCTCTTTCTATCGAGGTAAAGCAATATAGAAGAAAAGAAGTTATAAAAAGAAATAAAGAAAGAAGAAAGTACTCGGTTTGCGTTTGCCAGATAATGGTGCTTGATTGCCAGCTCTGCTGTTACTCATAATTCACAGGCATGGAGCTGGCTCCAACCTTTTTTTTTCTCTCTCACTCTTTTTATGTGATTTACACTAATAAACAATGATTATCGTTGCAGGAGAGAGAGATGTCCCAACTGTGCAGCCAGCTTTTGATACTGTGTACTTTCACTGGACAGCCTGCTTTTCTCTTTCCAGCTGAGGCTGAAATCCGAGCGCTGAAGGCCGAGCTGCTTCAGTGCAAAGCAGAAATCGCTCGACTCACCATGCAGAAGAATGAGGAGGAACCTGCACGAAAAACAATTGTTCTTGGCTACACGCGAGAGCTGGACACACTTCAGGAGCACTTGCAGGTTGGTGCCGTGGTTCTCGTTTTTGACCAGACTTTCAATCTTATTTTCATTTCACGTTACTTTTGTTATGGCGAAGCGTTGAGATGAATGGAGAACACAGGACAAGGGGATACTAGGAACATAAAATTTTATTTAAACAAAACTTGTTTAAATAAAAACTTCTACTTAAAACATTCAGTTGTCAGCACTGCTTTGTCCTGCGTTCAAAAGTAGTGCGTTCCTTGTAGCTCTTCTACCATTAAGAACGTATACCAACTTGCCTAATTGGCAGTCATTTTAAATGTACTACTTTTTCTGTTTGTTATACTGTATTTTACTCTAATGTATTCCCACCACCTCTGAATACAGTCGAACCCCTTTATAAGACACACTGATATAAAAGACAATCAGTATAGGAGACACCAGTGTGCCTACAGTAAAATACGGTTTGATAGGGAAATTCATATGAGCTACCTGTCATTTTAATAACCTACCTTTCACAATACTGAAATCGCCAGGCATGTCACAAGAAGGCACTTAGCAAGTGAGAAAGTGCAGGACGCCACATTGAAATCGCCGTGCCAAATGTTGTAAAGTCACAGATTGTGACAGCGTCTCCAAGGTCCTAATCTGTAAAAAATGAAGTGCAGCTGTTGGCAAAATACAGTGGGACGCACAAGCGGTGACCACAATCAGATTAAACTGCATTGCCGCGCCATCTGACATTGAGCGTCCGGTGTCGAAACATCGTGGTGCGTCATCGCGGTGCCACATCTTTTTACTGGCATGGAGCATACTAGCTGATTACATGTAGCATTTTGTGGTAGAGGTTTTTTTTTCTTTAATCTGTCATGCACTTCATTCAACGGGGGCACGGTTGGCATGAAGCAGGTACGCCAGTCGCTTTACCAGATAAACTTTGTCTCGGGGACAAAATGTTGCCACATACATCATTAGTTGCCTTCTGTGCATGTTATTTTCGGTGGAAACATACCGTGCAGTACTGAAATACAAACGAGGGCACCAGAATTGCAGATGCCTGGAGCCGGAAAGATTTTTTAGATTACTCCTAACTTTTTAATTTAATTTTTATTTATGCATGGTGCAGCCTATCATGGGCTATGGCAGGAGTGGCGATAACATCTCATGTCAAGCGCAGACAAAAAAAACCAGTCATTTTCAAAGCACAAACAAATCTAGGTAAGGCATTCTAACGTTCAGCTGTTGCAGGAAAGTAGCTATATTTGTACAAATCAGTTCTAGATTCAAGCTGCAAAAGATTGAGATGCGCGCTACTAGTACAGCAAGGTTGAGCAAACTGAAAGTACTGGTTTAAGAGGGCATAGCATTGGGACTCAGTCAAAGCAGGCACGAACTTTAACGATAGTTATAGCGCGAGAACTAAACGACGACACAGAGACAAGAAGTCGTCGTTTAGTTCTCACGCTATAACTATCGTCATTCTGTACCAACTAGCCCAACCTGCCACACTTCTACGAACTTTAAGCTTTCGTTGTGGCGACATGTTGCCAGAGTGGTCAGACTGAGATTTGAAAGTTTGGAAAAGGGTGAAAAGTTCCAATTTAAGCGATGGTAGATAAAACGAATAGCTTTTTTTTTTAATGGACTCAATCCTAATAATATCGTTTCTATAAAATGGATTTCAAACAGTAGATGCATATTCTAGGACAGGACAGATTGGTGTTTTGTACATGAGCAGTTTGGTTTCTGTAAGAGCTACTCGAAGAGTGATCTAGTGATACCCCAGTTTGAACATGTAATAATGAAGAAAAGGTCCAGCTGCTACGTGTTATCTGTCTGATAAAGGTAAAGCAAGCAAGCGGTGTACCTTTCACCACCACTGTACTCCCGTTGAACTGAGCGCACGGCGTGTTGTACAAAGAAAGTGACCCCTACCACTTAACACTACATGCAATCAGCTAGCATTTTGCAAGCGAGCAAAAAACCGTAACTGCGAGTGTAAAAGGATGTTCACATGCACGGAGACGTCTCGGCACCAAGCACACAATGTCAGATGTCATAGTGATGCAGTTTTATCTGATTGTGGTCGCCTATTGCATGACTTTATTTTGTCAGTAGGTATACATTATCGTCTGAGGAGGCCATAGACATAACACACTGTGCTTCAGAAAATTTCTTTGAGCCAACGTAGGCAAAATAAGAAGAACATATAGGGTTTCAGCTTGAAATTCAGAAATGAAACTGATTTTATCCCCCAATAATGCACATGATTATAAAACTAATGGCATTACATAGAACTCATAAACTAGACATATGCGTTGTTTCACTTTAGTGTCCTTTTAAGATGTAATAAGTTAGATTAATCATATTGAAATGCATCTAAATTTGCTGCAAACTGTAGTTAGATGTATTTGACTTTCTTTTTGGTGTTATTTTGTTTCTTCTACTATTTCATTGAGAGAAATTAACACACCGCTTGTGTAATAACCTGCAGGGCTCGAGGGTATTCGAATAACTAAATAGGTGGTTCAGTTCTCACAGCCAGAATGAAATTGTTGCCACATTAAGCCATATTGATCCGGCTGTTGCATAGGTAGATAAACCATGAACACACTCAATATTGAAGTCTGGGACTTACTTGAGAACAGTAACATAAAGCAATAAACCATTTTAGACTGATATATTAGTATCCTTCAAGTGCAACTTCGTTAGTAAATAGAAGATCGCTGGTTCATTATTAAATAAGAAAGTAAAGGTGAACGTATCATTTTAAATAAATGTCTGTGTGAAAAAACAGGTCTACCACCCTCCCTCCCACTCTTTACCTCTCTACTCTCGCCGCCTTTTAAGGGATTTACAAAATTTTCTAAAACTTGGAATAAGTTCCGACAATTAAGAACTATGCAGATCCTACTTGACTCCTTTAAAATGTAATGAGACGTTGCACCAAGTTGGTACGGGAACATCAAAGTGGTGTCATTACCTGTATTTTTTTATGTGCGCATTTTATTAGCTCTTCACTTGCCAGGTATCTTGTCTAACAAAAGTGAAGCTTTTGGTGGTATCTTACTAATACGAGAAAAATAGTTTTTCGTCTTTAGTTTGCCTTTAAATACTGCTCTGCCACAATCTTGACATCTTGTAGGAGACAATAATGATACAGGTACTATAGTGGTGTTTATAAGTTGAGACTTCTACAACATCAAGGATGCCGGTCTAATGCAACTCATATGCAACTCTTATGTTTCATTGAAAAAGTCCTAACATAAATATTTTATACCTTGTTTTTCTTTTGCAATAACTAACTCACGACCCACTTATCAAGTCTGGAAACCTTGTTTCTTCTAACATGCAACAGTTCATTATTTGGAGACCGTTTATAGTGCCCACTCGCAGTTTCAAAAAGCATTGATTGAGAGTGGACCCAGGATGTTCACATTGGCAAGGTGTTCACAACTCTTTCATTGAATGCTCGCTTGGTGCTGTTATAACCCTCATGCACTGTTGTAAGTATGCGTGGTCTCCCGAAAAATGCACTGCCAGGCAAGTATCAGCCTTTGTAGTGCTGTTCCAGTTCATAAAGAAGGTGACCCCTCATCTTATTAAAGAGGTGAGCTTGGGCTCAGCACTCAGATTGATCATGGCATTACCAACTCATGATGCAAGTAACGGTTCGTTGTAAAAACAAGGTGGTGTTTTAACACACATTTTAAAATTTGTTTAAGCTATATTAGCCATTAATATTTTGTTGATGATGCATGGGTGCCCACATAGATCTATGCCGCCAGTTGTCTCGCCTTAAAAATTTCGGGTTGAATCACGTGTTCCTGCAGAAAGAGCGAGACGTTAATGCCGAGCTGAAGCAACAGGTGATCAAGGCCCTGGAGAAAGAAGCCGAGGACCGGGCAGAGATTGCACAGCTGCGGCAGCAAATGAAGAACCGTGTCTCGGAACTGGAGGAGCGCTGGCGACGCTCCCAGGCGCTATGTCTCGAACTTCAACAGCAGTTCGACCAGGTGGGAAATCGGGGTGCCTCGTGTCGTTTAGCCCAAAACTTCTTTGTGTCTGGGTCCAACAAGATTTAAAGCACGTCATGTTTGTCTTGAATGCAATGTCAAATAAAGGACATTTGAGTAGCTCAGAAAGAAATTCAGAAAAAAGTTTAACAATTAATTCTAGATGTGTCGAATCAAACTAATTTAAATTGTCATTTATATAGAGCCATTTTCAAACAGTAGAGAAAAGTAGCAGGTTGAGGAGTGATGACAAATGCAGTGAAATCACTGCATTGGCATGTAACAGTGAGTACGTGCAACATGCACGTGGTGTAATGTACGCTTTACTGTCTCATATTTAGACCGGGCAACACTGCATTCTAAAGGTATACAAATTCCACATACGCATGTTGAAGTGCTGAAGAAGTTATTCCTTCCTAGCACAGTACGATGCCGGCAGTGGAGAGGTTTAGTTAGTCTGCAGACTTCCTAACATTTGCAGACACCCACTAGCCGCGCCTTTGATGGCTGAAGCAGGAGCAGCAGCAGCTGCTGTGGAACTGGTAGCAACATATTGTGGCACTTCATCTAACTAGAACGATTTTTTTCTGTTTTCTTAGTCTCCCATCTCGGGTAGAAGCTGAACCTACACAACTATACCATTTCAAACAATAATAGTTTATTCCTCTTCCTTAGTCGTGTCACTGTTTTGACGTGATTTAATAATTATCTCACTGCCATTGCTTTACACAGGGTCAGTAAGCAGGTAAGTTGCTTCGATGTTATTTTTGTAGATCTCTGGTTAGGCTTTGCATCATCAAGTGTCACTAACCGCCTTGTCTCTCTTGTGCGTGCATTTGGAAATCCGGCCAAAACTCGTGATGTACATTTTACAAATGGGGCATGCTCTATAACCTCACCATTTCTTGCTTCTGTTTCTGATTTGTCACTCTCACAAACTTCAAAATTCAATTCATATACTTTTTAGGCTGTTATTAAATGGCTTATATTGTATAGACAGCACATCATTGTGGCCATCAGTGTGATGTAACAGTCGAATTGTGTTTGTATCTTTGTGTCAGTGCTTTTCCAAGGTTCTCTGTGCATGCCAAGAAAGTGAATGAAATGAATATAAGGCACTTACTTTATGTAAAAGTACTTTTTTTTTCTATTTTCCTGATAGACAAAGGAGTCTGCCCAGGAAACCACATTTGCACTTGAACAAGAGGTCCAGAGGTATTCGTCAAACTATTTATCCTTTTGCTGAAACAACAGTATTCAACATGCTCAAGCGAATGTGATTGGTTTAATTTACTGGGCAAAATCATTGCCAATATGACCGATGCGCAAGACAAGAAGAACACAATACAAGCGCTGTCTAACAACTGAAGTTTACTGAAACAAAAAACAAACACAGGGTAGCCAACACTGTGTGTGCACAGAAGTTTTACGTCATGTAAAAGAAATCGTTCACTAAGTGCGCATACCTTGCAATCTAGCAAACTAGCAAAGGCTCAGATATGCAATCATCTTCCTCCATTTTTATGCAGAAGGCTTCTGCGAGTTTATGCTCCTGTTTGTCTTTATTTTTCAACATAATGACTGTGTTGTTTTATAAAAGGGCTATACTCACATAGGCTCTTGTAAATAGTAAATTTGCAATTCAAATTGAGTAGTGATTTGACAAAATAATTTTGAATCTATGGTATATATCATATCCTATACAGAAAAATGAGCATATTTGTCCTTTTTTATTTTTTTTTTATTTTGGGCATACACATATACAAGGCTTGCCTGCGAGGTAATGCAAAAGAAGGACTTAAACCTCCTAAGTAGGCCTTACCACACTGGGGCAGCAGAAGCTACGGATTTAGAAATGATAAATCATCTTTGTAACATAATGAACCAATTTACCTGTGCAATATTTTTTATGATCGAAACGTGTTATGTTGAAATGTCATTATTTTTTATTTGAAAAGAAGTTCAATGAATGAAAACAACATTTATTAGGTCTAGCAGGTACGACGATGTCGCGCTACCAGCTTAGTCTCACGTCGGGGCAGACAGGCTGCCACCTCGCAAGCCCGCCAGACGGCCACGAGCTGAGAGCCGAAGTTGGAACTTGTGAGGAGTTCACACCACTCTCCGTTGTTATGCTTCGAGTAGAATCTTGGCAGTCGACCATGACGTGCTGTAGCTCCGCGGTTCGGTGCATGCGGGGCAAGAAGTGGAAACAACTTTGAACAGTAGCAAGATTTTACTTTCAGTAGAATGCGATTGACAGCCTGTAAAATATGTTAGGTTTTAATATTTACTATATAGACACACATAACATATTATAAGCATGCACAACAAGCTTTTAAACTTAAAAACTATGGTTGGGTCGATGTGAGGGTGGTAGTTAATTTAACCTTGAAGTGGGGCTTCGCGGCACTGCAGCTTCTTTTTTTTTTTTTTGGTAAAATGTATTCATGGTGTAGCAGCCCTGTACTGCAGTGAATTGGTCTTTACAGGGAGTAACATGCAGTTTGTGCATTTATTTTTTAATTTCAAATACTTCGAAATTTAGTGTTCACTTCAAACTGAATTCAAGTGCCGTAATATTCGTTTAAAAAATTCCAAGTGCTTGAATATTATCACAAGCCTATAGCTTCGTGATCTGCAGTGAGCTAAAACATGCAACATAGGCGTTCCCTTTGACGTATGTTTGTGCTGGTGAAGTCTTTCATAAATGCGTTTACTGGACTTGCCTATGTACGCCTTTCTGTGGGAGAATGGAATCCTATAAACAACCCCAATGGTGTTTGTACTGTGTTAGATAGCACTCATACTGTGTCCTTCTTGTCTTGTGTCTACGCCATATTTGCACTGATTTTTCCAAGTATGCATAGTTTTCAAGACGTCCACTTCTCTAACTTACTGCTTTACTTTACCCCCACACTCTTAAGCCACTAAGGCAGTGTTTTTGTTACATGCATACCAAAGTGCAATGTTTATGTGTGTGGTTCATTTATTTTCCAGATTGTCAGCAAGCCAAGTGATGATCCGCACCTCTTTAGAAGAAGCGAAGGACCAAACAGAAATGCTCAAAAGGCTAGTAGCATGTTCCATGGTCATTACCACTGCTAAAAAAAAAACAAACCGAACCCATATCTGCGATATCTATTGTTGGTATACCGGCTCTGAAAAAAAACAAACAAAGAGCTACACTATGCCCAGTGAATTGTTTTGAAGTCAGCACTTTCCCTTTTTCATTTCCCTTGGGTTTTTCTTTAGCTGTTAAATAAGCTCAGCAGGTTGGCTGTCACACTGATAAGCTTGAGGTTGTGGGTTAGATTACCAGCCATGGCAGCCGCGTTTCGATGGGGACAAAGTGCAGAAACAGCCATGTAGTCAGGTTCAGGTGGTAATAAAAGAACTTCAGGTGGTCATATTTAACACCGAGCCCCCACTGTGGCATGCTTGACAATGATGGCTTGGTTGTGGAAAATAAATCTCATGAGGCAGTATGGAACAGTGGTTTTCAGCGTGTTGTTTCATGGTGTCAGCAGTGGCAGATGTGTATAAGTTCTGACAAAAGTTTTTTTTTTTTTTATGTGTACAACTGAAAGGAAAAAGCCTTTAATGTTTAATTATAATTTTAAGAAAGTGCTTTTGTCTGAGGTGTCAAAATAAAAATAGCTTGGGCTATGGATATCAATCAATTTTATACAGGATAAACATATCCGTTACGTTACAGCTGATGCTTACAAAAATTATTCTTCTTAAGAAGAACACTAACTGTGACTATTTCTGCTCTGCGTAGATTAGCATACAAGTCCATTGCCTTCCACTCTTAGACTGTGGTGTTTATGCGACGCCTATACGAAAGGTAATATTCTTAAGCTCGAAAATGTCCAGAAGAGAGCCATATAATTAATTCATTTATAACGATTTTGACACTGCTCAATGGCTAACCCCTTCCTCTGAAAGAGTCCGCTCAGCACATCTAAAATTCTTGTATCAGTTAGTTAAGGGGCACTATAATGTTGATGTTAATAAATCAGTTAGTTAGGGGGTACTATAATGTTGACGTTAGTAAATGGATTTCATTTCTTCCGGTTATTCGATGTGCCAAAGCACGGGCTAACAATAACACCTTTTTGTTGTCATAATGGCTCTTTCAGGTATTTTTTTTTTTTTTTGCAAACACTTTAGCAGCCACATCGTTCAAGCAGATCTTTGTCAGCATTTTCATCTCTTAATGATGGCTGAAACATAATTGGTTTAGTTTCATAGTCACTGTGTGTTATATCTGTGTTGCCTCTTCCTCTATTTTTAATTGTGCATTTGATAAATGTTTTGTTTAATGACTGAACCTTAATTTGTGTTTTTTTTTTGGCGTTTTTTTTTATTTGCATACTTTGCGTGTACATATATTATGAGTGCCATTATGTTGTATTTTCTTTCATGTACTGTATTCCACTCTACTTAATTCCTGGTAGCGACTGCAGTATGTATAAATAGAATAAAATCAATAAATTATATATAATAATCATAAATAAACTCCAGAACTTTTTATGTACTGTATTCTACTCTATTAAAATCCCAGTAGGGATTGCAGTACCGTATCTATAAGTAAAATAAATAAATAATATATAATAATAATTGAACTCCAGCACTTGCTTTTTATATTAGGTGTTGAACAAATTGCTATCTAGCACACTGCTTTCTGATCTCAAGGTACTGATTATAGTACTGCAGTAAAGTCTTTGTAGTGTTGCCTTGAATCAGAGAAATGTATGTACCTGCTTTGATCGCATTTTATCGGCCTAACATTCCAGCCGTGCCTTGTGAAATTTCATAGTGGCTGGGACAGGCCTCCTATGTCAATAACAGACACCTTCCTTTTTTTTCTCATTATCTACTTAAGCTTGTAAAGGACATCTATGGCACATGTGCGACAGCCATGTTGCTACGTGCAGTGCTAACATCTGTGCAATGTCATCTCTTGTTCCAAATGCAGACATATACGAGAGAAGGAGCTTCTCATCTCCCACTTGCAAAGTGAAAATTCCGAGCTTCGAAAGTCTGAAAGCAAAGCCAGGGTGAGGCTTTTCAACTTCTTCTTCTGTTGGTTCTGCACTCAAATCTAATTTTAACAATGTTGCATCTTACAAGAAAATAACCTTGTTATATCCGAAAATTTGTTATAAATGTTTATTCCTAACAAAGTATCTATTACAAGACTATTTTTTGTTTACTTTGTTGTAACTGATATTTCGTTATATCTGGGTTCGTTATATTAAGGTTCGAGTGTATACTTTATGACTTGACACACGTAAAAATCAACAAGGGTATCAATATGGTTGTTGTTGGTTTGTGAAGTCGCATTAAATTTTATTTACGACATGCGCGAAGTGCAGTGTTCATTGTTTATTGTATTTAAATAAAAAAGGCCCCACGTCTTGCATTTTTGATTCATTCTGTTGTAATTAGGCGAAATCCTCAGCTGTAATACTGATGCTTGCAGGAAATTTTCTGAATGAGTTGTGTTGAAAATTGATCGTATTATCACAGCACATTTCTTGGCGCACAGAAGTGACGATTCATGAAAAGGCAATCTTGTTCCGCTACTCGTCCATTTGCTTAACATGGCAAAGGCCTTGCGCTATGCATGCATGATATAATTGTGGAAAAATAACACATTGGTGAAGGGAGAAAATAAAGTACATTGCAATTAGTCTTAACCTGGTCCTTTTCGAACTATTCATGCTAGTTTATTTAAGGATTAGTGCTGCTTGTGTATTCAGTATTTATTTTAGTGACGAAATCATAGGGAAAAGAATGCTCATTCGTTTTGCAACTTGTGTAATTTTGTGTGGATTACCTTACCCTGACAAGGACAAGTAGCATCAAATAGCTCGGCAAGATTATGGGAAAACTATGCGCTTAAACCTCATTGTAACAAAGTTGCATATTACAAGACAATAAGTTTGTTATATCCGAAAATTCTTATAAAGGTTATTCTTAACACTGCATTTATTGCATCATTATATTTCATTTACTTCGTTATAACTGATATTTTGTGATACCCAACTTTGTTATACTATTGAGGTTTGAGTTTATTCAAGAATGAAAATTTTCAGAGCCCAGAATTTACAGGCGTAGGCCAGAAAAAAGTGGAACTCGCTCGAATCCACTCAAAAAATATATCTTGCACTTTGGTTTCACTTGGGCTCACCAAAGTATGCCTCACCCAGACTGACTCAGGCTTGAACTCGTGCCTCTATTCGAGTCTGATCGAACTATGGGTGAGCCAGCTGACTCGTGTTTTGGCGATATTTATATTTCCTCACAGCTTCAACATTAGAAGTGGGGCAGCTTGGGCTAGTTGGTATGACATGACAGTAGGTATAGTGCAAGAACAGGACGACAAAGAGACAAGAAGGACACGCTCGTGTCCTTCTTGTCTCCTTGTCGTCGTTCTGTTCTCGCACTGTAACTATCGTCAACATTAGTCCTGAAGTTTAGGTGCTCACTATGGTAGCGGCACCTTTTTGTTTTTACTTTCCTTTATGACAAGTTCCATTAGGACAGCACATGATAGTGCACCACACTGGTTGCACTCATACTCACAGGCTAGTAGGGGGTCAAAATAAAAATCTATAACTGCAAGATAAAATTGTACCGACAAGGCAGACGTTACACATGAAGTAAATTCAACGAGAGAAGGAAAAAAAGGCAGAGCGAGTTGTCTCGAGCAAATTTAGTTCACACGCGGCTCAGAGCTTGCTGGAGTCCCATGCACTTAGATTTTAAGAATGTCCATGTTAAAAAACATGGAGCAGTCGAAGTTTTCAAATGTCCCTCACGATCGTGTCCTGGTGTTGGGGCATAAAAGTGGTATATGTGCTTTGTGTCTGTCACTCACTTTTGTCCTAGGAACTCCAACGACGTCTCGATGAGCTGAAGGAGGCAGAGGAACTAGCACGCATAATGAAGGATGAGCTGAAGCGGCTACCGCTTGTTGAGAAAGAGCGGGCAAAGCTTCAGGAGGAAGTTGAGCAACACCGGTTAGTTACTTTTTTTTTCTTAAAACTTCTACTGCTCTAAATACGAGAGAAGTTTGTTCGAGGGGCCTGTTTTATTGTTACTTAGGACTGATGAAACCAGCTAACAGTAAGTCAAGAAATGCACAGGAGGTACCAATTGTTGCCTCTTTAGCTGTAATGCAATGATTTTGATCTAAGTTTGAAAGAAGTTAAAGTGTACAAAAGAATCACTCTGTCTGTCGTTGCGATCTAAACCCTCAAACTTTAATTGCAATTGTTAGTGATGTCGGTGCATCGTTTTTCAATGCAACTTGTTCTCTCTTGCAGGCGGGCGCGTATGAATGTGCACTTGATACAGGAGCGCTTGTTAGCAGCTCAGCACAATACAACCAAGGTGAAAGAACTGCAGACACTCAACTCACAGCTACAGGTGAATGTGGAGCAGCTTCAAGAGGAACTGGGAAAATGGAAGGAGTTGGCTGCTGAACCGCACGGTCTCGCGTAAGTTCTTCTCACGTATTTTTATGCGTACTTGTTTCTTTACTTTCGTGTGACCGGGCTTAGGGGGCAGACTGGTCTTAGACATGTTTTGTTTATTTCTTCAGTGATCTTGATAAAACTGCACAGGGTTATACAGTTTTTTCTGCTGATTTCAAATATGTAATTAGTTTTCCTGTAACTCACTTTGTTGCTGAGATAACTTAAGTTCACTCCCTATTGGTTAAGGCCACCATAGAAAAAAAAGTGCTTAATTAAAAGTGATATTTAGGATATGCCAACATAGACTAATGACTATAGAGTGAAAGTATGGAAGAGGTTTTTGTTTTTAGACCTCTATTGGTTATTTTGCAGCAAAATGAACTATACATTTTCAAAAGCAGTTGGAATTGTGTTACTATTTTGATTAGTAATTAATTAAAAGGGCATGTGCTCTAAATTTTGCTCCCATACTTGCATTATACACACATACAGGTTTCCACTGCAAATAGAAATATTGTTGTACCTGCCCTAGCTGCAGAGATATTGAGGCCTCAAAATTGAATAGTCACAAATTCACTTTTTTGAGAAAAGTGGAAAAAACTGAAAACACACAGTTTCTTCAAAAAGCAACGATCATGGTGCGCATGTTTAGCAATCCTCACGAAGGCGCTCATCAATTGGTAGTAGAGCTTTAGACAAAGGTGCTGGCAAATTATAAAGAAGCCTCAAACTCGGTTCCCCATTTTTTTTGCAGGTTCTGCATGTTAACAGCACCAAGTATCTGGACAGTTAAAATGACATTACAAAAAAATTACTACTTCTTGATGCGTAAAAATTTGCAGAGAGATAGAAAAATACTTGCAGAAACCAAATATGTCAATTTTAAAAAATGAATATTTTTGTCACTTTTTGGTCCCAAAGAGCAGTCTGCCCCCTTAACTGACAAAAACTATTACGAGTGTCTTCTTGGGTGCATGTATTTGTGGATTCGCTGGTACCTCACTTTTCAAGTTTGTGGTGCACCAACTGGCTCAATTGCTATTGCCTGCGCCTACATTTATTAAGTGTTTTTGATCACACATGCATAAAAGATGTGTTTCACCAACGATCAGATCATTATCAGTGACCATTCGCTAAGCTTGTATCTAATGTTGTACCTCGAGTATTACTTGTACTGTGAGTGATTCCTTTTGCTGTTGATATAAATAACCTTTGCTGGTTTCACTGCTTGGTTTTTCACCATCACAACTACGTGGTTATATGACTGAAGCAAAACCAATAGACACTTTACTACACCGACGAACGCAAGGAAGACAAGGCACAACCCTACGAAGTAAGGTCTGCAGCTAACTCTTTCGGATACGATATTACATAATTCCACTAAAAGCTGGTGCAAGAGCATACACCCACTCTAGGTAGAAACGCTCTTTTCGCCCAGTCTCTTCGGGTTGAGAGCGCAACATAAAAGGGTATACAAGCCATGCACTGACTCTTGCTTAGATAGCGCACGCAGCAGTGATCGTGACTGCGCCCTTAGAATTAAAGCTCATTCATTGCTATTTGAGTGACCCCCCCCCCCTCTTCATCACAATTGTTGGCAGGTGTGACACATGCGGGGTGATGTTACAACGTGCGCCCTCCGAGCCATGGAAATGGGCCGACTCGTTTGATCTCTGCTTCAGCAGCGCTCGTTGCCCTTGTGATATGCAGGCAGATGTTATCAGTTTGGACTTCATACGAATCATGATGGCAAAAACTCGTCTATAGTGTCCTTATAATTGCTATTGCAATAACTCATTAATAAATAAATGTTACTGGCCAGCTCTACCTTCAGTTTCCCTTTTGTATAATTTGCGCATTTGTTTTTCAAACTTTGCACCATGACTGCTTATAATTAAAACCTCTTTATAATGGATTTTGGGGAAATGTCCTACTAATTTTGTTATATCCAGGTTTAACTGCATAGGGATTCCTGAGACAGAGGGATCAGTCATTTTTTGTTTTTGTTTTCCGTTTCTCTTTCCTTGCAGGAGTCCAACAGCAGTGCTGCAGTGCCTGGCTGATCTGCGGCGCTCTGAGTTGGTTCTGACAGAGCGACAATCAACGTTATTAGCAGAGTAAGCATTTCCATCTGGGCCCAATGGGGGCTTTGTAGAGGCCACAGCAGTTCGCAGCTAAGCACAGGGTTTCTGGCTCGCAAAACTTCACAATTAATTTGAAGGAGCCAAGCACCAACATGAACGTGACCAGGAAACACTGCCGTTCAGTAATCGTGGCTTCTGCAAACGTGTGAGCCAAACACGGAAGTGCTGCACATGCCAGGGAGTTTATAATTATGTTTCAAAGACAGCCGGAAAGAAAGGCAAATTTAAGGGCTCATTTTTTTGGCTGGACACGATGCTAATGAGAACTGACAAACAATTAGGCCAAGGAAAGTACAGGGTATGTTTTTTGAAGTAATTGTAATGTAATTTCGATGAAATAGAAGTGGACAAAAATATAACTTGCTGTGGACAGGGTCCGAGCCTGCGACCTTCAAGTAATGCATCTGATGCTCTATCATTTGAGCTACCACGATGGCTATCCCCCTTCCCCCTCCCCTCCCCCCCCGTACACTTTATAGGGTATGTATGTGCATTTAAACGTGGGAGCGTCAGTCACCCCACATTTAAATACACATACGTACCCTATAAAGTGGACGGGGGATAGCCACCATTTTAGCTCGGTTGGTACAGCATCGGATGCAATACACGAAAGTCGCAGGTTTAGTACCTGGCCACAGCAAGTTATCTTTTCATCCAGTTTTTTTTTCTTCGTTACAATTACTTCTAATAACATTCCCTATAGTTACCTTGGCATAATTGTCTTTCATTTCTCATTAGAAATTACATCAATTTCTTTCAAAGGGGAAGGATTCCACAAAAAAACACAGCTCACCAAAAACAAAAGCAACATCTTTGTAGACTTGCAACTGCTTTATTCCTTTCTGAAAGAATGCACCAACTAGCACCTAAGCATGTGCTACTGAAAATCACATCAGCTATGGGCTCGGCTACATTAACAGAGGCAAGGATTTGGCCGTTGGCTCATTTGAGCATTCTTGGGCTGGCTAGATACCACGGCCACCGCAGGGTGTCACTACATGGTGGTGCCGCTCTCTGTAGGCTACTGAAATTACCGACTTGACAGTGTGTTTGCGATTATCCGTACTTTCCTGGTCTTGATCAGGAACGAAACGCTGCGGAGCAAGGCCGAGAGCTGCACTCAAGAACTTCGCCGAATGAACGCCAAGTTTATAAAGAACCAGTCCCAGTTTGACGAGCAGACAGCGTTGCTGCGCCGAATGCAGAGGCGCCTACTTCTCTTGGGCAAGGTGATGTGCGTTTTGTATATCTAGTGCAGAAGAGCCCTTTAGGGGCCCGGACTGTTGTATGCTGTCATCGTCTTATGTAGCCTGCTGTAACAGTGGCAAAATTACTTAAAGCTTGGTTTTCTGTAGCGCCTTGATGATCTCAAGTGCAGAGCGCTTAGGGGCTGTCGTACGCTGTCATTTCTTCACATAACACAGGCAAACAGTTGTCAGTGGAAAGAGAGTATAAATTATAGAAAAAAAAAGAAAGCAAGTGAGAAATAGAGAGAAAAAGAAAATCACTGCCATAAACACAAAGTGAAGGATGTTAGAGGAGCGTGCTCGGATGAGCGCAGGGTGCTTCTCAGAGAGACCGTTTCTGTAGGAAGGCTTCTTAACGAGCCGGCCCGTAATGTGTACGTGGAAGGCAGCGTTTTCAGGCACGTTCTGCGGCTGACACTGCTCAGTCTTGGCCCTGTCGATCAGCTCGTTAACCACCTGCCCCTTCGTGGCATACTGGCTTCTGCCGTGAGTCAAATGCCTGACGCTCACGAATGGCAGGCGTAGAGCTGGCACGCATTCTTCAACGGGTTTGAGGGTGAGCCTGTTGGAGGTGCCCGGTAGAATATCAGTACCTGTATGTAAGACTCACACTCATGGTGGGAACTTGTCACTTGCTGCTGCTGTGCCTACGAAGCGACGATAACGAAGTGGACGTAGTCACGAGGGCCATCGAAAACCGACTCTTTGGGTGCCAGCAAGCCATATATGTTGTGAGCTTTGTTAAAATCACTGGAGAGGATGCCTGACTGGAGAGGATGCCACATTTTTCCTGTTAGGGCATTAAAAGAATGTTATAATTTTTTTAACTCACACCTGTATTATTGTACACTAATATGGGGAAACACAACATTATCAAACCTGCAGCAAATATTTTTGGTCCAAAAAAACTGCCGCGTGCAATAGAAAACTCTTTGTATC